CCTTATCTTTCATTTTTGTCATTAGTACCGCACACTATAACCAAGACAATGAACCCGCTTTCCGATCTTGTCCACGTCTGTTACAAACACAGGATAAAGTTTACGGTCTGCTTTTACTCGCAACGTCTTCCTTTGGGGTGATAACTCATGGAAAACCTCGCCTATGTATCGTTCTGGTGCATTGGATTCTCTCTTCACTCTCCCTGCCGCCATGTTTACGTATTGTTTACGTATGGAAATTATTCCCCAGTTCCATGGATAAACTAATGCGCAAGCGCAATACAGACAAACAATGCCCGCGCTAGCCTGGACGCCAATTACAGCAAATGTTCATGTTCGTGGGCAATAAGTTTGATGTGACCACCGTAACCTATTCATTTGGTTTTTGAAAACCACCAATGTATTATTTTACGACTGTTGCTAAATTGAACAAACATAATCTCAAATACCACCGTAAGCCGTATTCTGCTTAGAAATTTGACGTAATGAATATGAGGAAAACAAATAGTTGTTATTGGTGCCAAACAGGTACAATCCAGAGATGCAGTATCTCCTCCAGGCTTCACCTCGTAATCGCGTGTCTTGTCCGTCTGAAAGGTTACTAAAATTCCACAAACACAGCATTTGGTATTTTTCGGTAGTTAAGACAGAAAGCTACCTCCAAATGCGCTAACCAATTTCTTTCTTGTCTATGGTCTCCCTTAAAGCTTGTGGATCACCTGTCGACGAAGTGCGTGGAGGATGGATACAGAAAAGGAATACTGCCGAGGGGAGTTCACAAGAGACAGGTTAATATTGATTTCACCACCTTTGATTTCGCTTCTTTCTAATGACATCAGAAAATAATAAATCAAATAAATTGAAAAGACCTATAACTTCACTAATACTGCAATAGTACTAAAGAAGGCGTGAAAAATCACAGTTAAAAGAATAATTTTTCCTCCAATTGAAAATGTTAGTAAGCCTTTACCCCAGAAAACCTAACGACTCCATGACAACATTAAGACAGCAGTTTTCATATCTCTAAGGCATTAATCACGGGCTTAACGAACAGGGTGAAAGTACCTCTCTGTGAAAGTCTTCTTATGTGCCAATCCTTCAGTGATTAGATACTTTCTTTAAATATAGCACCACTTGACAGCTCTAATGAGAGTGAATCTGGTGATGCAAAGCTATTTCAAGATGCCCCAGAAGATGAAGAGGAGAGCGTGAACGACTCAGAAGCGTCCTCTGAGGTGAATTCATCAGCTGATGATCACGACTCAGCCGACAATGCCGCGGAGACTGACAATGATGACGATAACGAAGATGGTAAAGATGAAAAAGACGACGAGAACTAATTCAACTTTACTATGTTTCTTTGTTGCTTTTCCAAAGAAATTCTATAGATATTGAAAGTAGAATGAACACAGTTAGTTTGGATAATTTGGAACTTATCTTATTTATTATGTCCGTGTGATTGTAATTGTTGATCATTTCTGATTTGTTTATTGTTCACCGTGCGGTGTCCGTACTGCTGGGGAGAGTTCTACAGACCTCTGAGGAAAGAAATGTGCTGTGCTGACTGGCAAGTGAGACGCTTAGTTGATAATCAACTTACTAACCACCGTAACCGAATAAAGGAAGAGGTGACGCTCCAAACGTCAGCCCTTCGTCGAATCTGAATGTGGCCTCTTTCACCTATGCGTAAAGGCGGCAAAATACGAGATACAAAAACCCTCAACTTGCTGCGCAACATGAGCAAATTTTTTGCGTGACAAGTTGTGAGTCTAATGAAAAACAAGCAACAAAGCCAAAATTTGTTGCTCAAAGTAGACCCGCGCTCTACTTTTCGCAACAACTTTCTACAACCCGCAACACATGTTTTTTTGCGCGACAAGTTGATCACGCAAGGTGAAAAACGCGAAACATCGACCCAAAACTTGCAACGAAACAATATTGCGCGACAAGTTGAGGGTTCGTCTATCTCGTATTTCGCCGCCTTAAGCACAAGCAGAATCAGAATGAGAATCTTGTTGGGAGTTATCAGGTAGAAAGAAGTTATTTGCGCGGCTACGGTATCAAATGTACGAGGAAAAAAAATGCAACTCAAAATGATATTCAGTTTATTTAACACTCGATCAGATAATTCCACTCGCAGGTACTTGATAAACTTACATTCCTCAAGACAAAAAGAAGAATGCTGTTTGAGCTTTCTTCTGTAGCACAGTTCAGTTAAGCCGAGCTAGTTTTCACATTCATATCCCTGAGAATCTGCAATATTTCGTTGAGAGAAGTACTAATGTTGTCAATCTTTTTCTCCTGTTTTTCGATGGTGTCATCAGTTTTTTTCTTGCCATCTACGACTTCCCCAATTCTTTGGTTTAAGTTCTGGAATTCAACATCGTTGGCTACTTTCAGCTTCGCAAATGAGTCTGCTTCTCTTGCTAGAACATCGCCGGAAGTCCTCTTGTCATTCCTTCCAGAACATACCTGTCAAAAGAATGTTTGAGAGTTGAATTGTGATCACAGTGCGTAAACATAGCACACATTTACTATAAATTAAAACACCCCCACCCCTCTCCATTCCATGCAAGCCCTTCTCAAAATTAGGAGAAAAAAACATCACTCCACTTACCCAGCCCAAGAGGAACGTAGAAAAGTTAGCTTTCGCCGTTCTTAGACCATGTACAGTCAAACCACTCGTAACCAACATCCACAGTACGTAATCTTTTAAATTACGGACACCTCACTTCGTCTTACATGAGACAAAACCAGCGCTCATATCTCTAAATCTACGACAGTTTACAGTACGGACGCTTGAAAACTTGCGTAATAAGGACACCGAGCTCGGCTCCTTTGGCTACGCTCGTGTTTTAAAAAAGAGCAACAATGTATGGCAGTATTTTACTTGGAAACTATTTTCAAAAAGGGTTCTTACCTTGGCTAGAACTCGAACGCCTTTATGACCCATTCCTATAAAGGGAAAGAGCTCTCGCTTTCCTTTTTCGTATCTCATCAAGGCCTCATAAATTATTTCCCCATTCAAGATGAAAACAACTGGAACTTTGCCATGTTCGAATTTGCCATACTCGACAGAACAAATAATCGAATCACCCTGGAAGGCCATTTTACCTACAAAAGAATTAAAATTGAACACTCCTTGAGGGGACGGTTTTTTCACAAATGGATGTATTCCTCTTTGGTCTGGGTTAAAAAATGAAGCTATAAAGACAGACACAAAATCGGCATGTCTGGTTCTGGTGATCCCACGAGATAACTTAAGTGAGGTTTCAATTACAAATTTTAAATCCAGTTTGTGTGCTTCAGAACCACAAGTGAAACCTTAAGGTGAAACACGGTGAAACAAGGGTATAAGCAAGGCTAATTAACAAGTCACAAACTATCGTAAGGATTGCATTTGGCTAAAATAGCATTTGCAGATAGTAGTCCAAAACCTGCACCTCGAAACTATTTAACAAAGTACGTTAAAGATATTACCTTCCACCAACTGAGCAACTCCGATCAGTCTCTTTTCACAGGAATTACGAATGAGACCATCGCTGGCTTGATAGCCGATAGTGTCATCTGATTCACCAGCTGCTTCGTGTAAGTTGTGTTTCGCTCGTACAACGCCAACAACCAACTCTCGCTTCTTGCCATTGTCCTTAATCAGAACCTGGCAACAGCAAAAAACATAACGTCGTAAAGTATTATGAAGGAGTCAGATACGATAGAAAGTTAGAAAAATATATTTAGAGTAGATGAGCTGAAAATACATTCGGTTGAGAAGTAGAGAAACCTTATGGTAAAGTTCAAGTTTTTGCAGACCCTTGTAACACCTCTAGGGAACCCACGCTTGTCCCTCAAGGATAAAAGCGTATTGCTTTACTCACCTCAAGTTTTGGGAAGCTTTCAGAGAAAGGCTGTTTATATCTTGCACCATGGAAATCTTTTGCTTCAAACTTGCAGGTTTTGCAAAGGTCGCGACCAACATAGGCAAGTAAGCAGCCGTCGATCTGTATTCCGGCACTGAACCAAGCCTACAAGGTTTCAAGGAAAAGAATTTTTTTTGTGCCGCACATTTAATTTTGGAAATAGTATTGTTATCATATCAACAACGGCAGCTGGTTAACTGGGACGTTTGTAACTGATTAGCATAACAAATTACAATTGAAAATTGGGCATGAACTATTCTGGCTTGAAAAAAATGAGCAATAAGTATTTTCTCATTACTTAGCTTCTCTTTTCTCAATTTTTTTATGTTATTATTATCTCATTCCAGGCTTTTTCTTTTAACATAATCTAGTTTCGTGGAAAGTACATCAATCAATTTTTTAACTGTAAGCAAATAGCAATGCCAAGCGTCACAAGACTTCTGAAGAATCAGTCACGTGCATGTAACAATTTCAGTTATATACCCAGTCCACTTACATTTGGACCTGTAGTGGCAAAATCGGCAGTGTTGGTCTGATTAGAGAACACGATGATTTCACAAATGTCAGATATCCTTTGGTGTAACGTTTGAAACTGAACGTCATTATATTCTTTCAGCTTTGCAACTGCCAGGGATGCATCAGCACGGTCGTCTGTGTCATTCGTACCAGAACAAACCTAATGAATTTTAAGAACGATTGAGAATTCAAACAGATTGAGGAGATAATTGGTGCATTTTATTAATTGCAGCATATGTAGGTCAAATACTTTACTGAATTATATAAGACTGTTCGTAGCCTTTGTTTTGTTTTTGGTTTTTAACTGAGAGGCTGTGTAGGTATGTTTTTTTTTTTTTCAACGAAATGAACAAGATTCGTTGTCCCTTCTATGTACATGTATGCTTCTTCTAATTCTTCTCTACTTGTTAAAGTCAAGATTTTGAACTCAGAGTAGCTGTCGACCCACACTTTTTCTATTCCATCCCCCCAAACCACCACCATTCATGTTATCTTGGGTTTATCAAAGCGCTTCTGAGGTTAGCATTTTCACGACCACTCTGTCAGTAACCATGGTTACTTGTAACACCTTGGTGCACTACGGTATACGCGAAACTACTCTTTCCATGATTATTTCAGTGTAGTTCAAAAAAATATGCAATATATTGTTCTCACCTTGGCAAGAACACGAATGCCTTTATGACACATTCCAAAGAAGGGATAAAGCTCTCTCTTTCCTTCCTCATATTTCATCAACGTCTTATAAATCTCAGTTCCATTTAAGTTGAAAATAATTGGAACTCGGCTATCTTCATCGATTTGGTTAAACTCGACAAGACAAACAATCAAATCGCCTCGATACGCCATTTTTTCTGCAATAACGTTAAGAAAGTTAAGTCAGTAAAGCTGTCATGAGATAGAAAAAACTAGTAATATTTAAGAGCAAATGTCCACAAGAATCAAAAAATAGTTCGGTAAGGCTTGAAAAATAGAATTTGCTCTACTGTTGCATAAAAGTAGGCCTTAGTAAAAGTAAAAACGCTATGTAGTTTTCTTCTTCAAATATCTTGGTATTTCTGAGAAAAAGAACATTACCGTTTTCACGTCCAGACATCAAACTAAGGAGTTCTAAGTGGGCTGAAAATTGGCCATTTTCATTCGATTCGCATTTCGCAACTATTGAGCACAGAAAAGTTGCAATACAACCAGCTTATAGACCCTTTGCACGATCCGGTCACATGGTACGGAATTAATTACGCTGGAACGCAAGTTACGCAGTGGGACTTCCAAAACAAAGGAACTCGTACGAGTCCAGCCCGACTTTCCTTTGTTTTGGAAGTCCCACTGCGTAACTTGCGTCCCAGCGTAATTAATTCCGTACCATGTGACCGGATCCTGTAAAGGGCCTATCCTTACTTCATCATACGAGTGAAGGCATACGGTGACTGTTTAACCCATCTGCTGGACAATGCACCCTCAAATCTTTTATCCAACCTGGGATTTAAACCCAGACCACGACCGCGACAAAGTCACATCGTGTACATTGTTGGATTTCACATTAGAGTGTTTCCAGCACGCAGGCCTCAACAGTCAGACACCCTCTCTAGGGAAAGGGATCCCTTCGCGTTCGGCTTATCCCTTGTGTATCACCGAAAAAAGGGAACTGTTTAAAGAATTGTCACTTCGGGATTCAATTCGTGTTACGAGAAAAAAATAAAGATCAAAGGTTCTCGGGGAATGGACTAGTAACCCTAACAAACTCGAAGACTCTTTTCGCGCCAAACGTTCTACGTGACCATTTGATTGCATCACCACCACATTTTTTCAATGTTATTCCGTGTCTTTGTTATTCTTTTACATTTATATTCGCTCACAATTTTATTCATCTTGGACTGGATAACGACGTTGAGCGAACGTCGGAACGTCGCCACAACATTTCAGCTCTTTTTAACTCTTAACCAGATGGTTTTAAGGTTCCCAACAATTTTTTTCGCAATGTTTTACAGTTGTAAACCTCAAAAAGACTCAAGTTTCCCTTGTGTGACCGAACAGATGAAAATATTATAGTGCAGTCTTAAAAAAAACTTTAAAAGCACTACAGTTAGCCTAACAATCGTGAACATTGAGAGAAAAGCATGGTTGGTCGGTTGGTGATACGTCCGTTAGACTAAATCACATGGGCGGAAATCGTTACCAAAAAATCTGCAATAAATCAACTCCCACTACCCGGCAACTAAGTGACCACTGATGAAG